TACTCTCCCAGGTTCAGGAAACAGTCCTCATCCTCCATAAAATGCGCAGCACACATCTGAATATTTGGGTTGAACTGTTCTGGAACAGTGTTGTAAATACAACTTAACCACTGATTTCTAGTTGTGTCCTCTTTTGGAAGGCCAAACAAAGTTGTTTCGCTTTCACAACGAAACACACAGCGTCTCCACAACATGGCGGCGGCGGCAACAATACTACAGTGAGAATCAAAGTTACGCCTTCTTTCTTTGGGCGGCGTTATGAAAATCTTCCCACATTGTGACGTAGACATGTGGGGGTGTGTTAGAACGAGCCGTTTTAGGTAGGCATGGTTGACTCTTAACTTTTATAAAGAATATCTCTTTGGATTTGAGACTTTAGTCTTTGCTAGTTTTCAGATCTTCCTTATGCACCAAGAGCTTGTAACACTCCAAAGAGAAAGGAAAAATTGAAATCGCATTATATGACCCCTTTAATACAAATCACTTGTGAATCGGTCAAGTCTTGCATTGTGTTACGTGATACCTCACCATGTATGAAGGAAAGATAAGCACTCTTTTGTGCTTTCCACATGGCCATTGCGGGTCATCCAGAAGATTGGGGTCGTACTCCCTGAAATCTCCCAGTTCATTCCCTATGAGAAAAGAGAGGGCAAATAAACAGACTTTACATGTGCTGAGATCACATAATACTCAAAACAAATATACTACTTAATAAATATATAGTTCTACATTCAGAATAGCAATTGTATGGTAAGCATTTTGTATCAAGAAGTTTATGACCTTGCTCAAGTCTGCTTAATAAGTAACACATTATTAAACCAAAATGCTCATTAAAACCAAACAAGCGGCCCCTTGTGGGGACGTATTAGGGAGATTGAGGCTAAATGAAAGAGCAGTGACAAGTTGTTGGCACACGCACCGGTATCAAGGCTACTCTGGTTACTGTTGGCACGTGCCAGGCTGAGGCTCCGGTGGCTGGCATTGCGAGACTGAGAGAAAGACGACGTGGAGTCGATGGTGTTTCGACGACCCAGTACATTGGTTGGATACAGGAACTGTGTGTATGACACTGTCTGTGTAGACATTTACAGAAACTGTAGTCAAATGCTCATCAAGATTAAAGATTTTCTTTCATAACACTGGAGAAAATTTTGACTAGCCACAAAAGTTGCCATAAAATTGATATACAAACAGAAAGGAAGGTGAAAACAGATTGTACAGATTTTGCAATAAAAAAGTAAAACATCTGTAATTAATAACACTAAAGAAACAAGGTGTACACTCACCTTGCCATCTGCACCCAATTCAACACCCTCCAGGCCGATCACCATCTCCTTGGCACTCATGCCACCCGAGGGGTGTCGCTGGCGTCCGCTTTCTGCCTTCACATCCCTGCTTGAGGCAAGAGAACATCTCAGAGTCCCTCCATAGACAGCAGTCTGTACTGGCAAACATACTTAACCTGCTGCTAAACCATTTGCCACCATAACCTGCTGTGCTCACTGCTTGGCTATTTTATTTTAAATTCAGCTTAAGAAGTATTTGAAATTAAGTGTAACATTTTAAATGTTTGGCTTTAAGAGGAAGAAAAAAAAACATTAATATAGCTTAATATTAATATATCTTTTTTATACACTTACACAATAAACTCTAATGTAATAAATGTTAGTTTAAAACATTATTTACGGAATTAAATGTATGTATAAATAATGCATCATAAAATTATAGTGTGGAACAACATCAAACAAATGAAGTAAAAAATGAATTGCAATATTACTATCTCATGCCCCAAGAATCAAGGTGAATGGATGGATGGCTAATATAGCACATATAGGTTATTTTCAGGGTCCAGGAATAATAAAAATAAATCAATCAGCCTCTCACATGACAAGAAGAATTTAGGGAATTTCTTTTTAATTTCCTGCAAAAACGAATGCAAGTCGTTTTTTTTTTTTTTTTTTTTTTTAAGATTGCATCACAGCTGTATTAAATTTCGAAACATTATGACAGGTTTCATTCATGTTACGAGGGTTATTTTCGTCAACTAAAGTTAAACTAAGACTAAAACCATTAAAAAAAATCATTATTTGAAACAAAATAAACATTAACTGAAATAAAATATTTGATAAAAAAAAAACATAAATGAGAAATGTTGCCTTGCCAGCTTGCTGAAATAATGTTTAAGTACTAAAAAAAAATAAAAATTCCAATATTCCAATTAGTTTTAAACATCTGAAATAAAGAAAATAAAAAATAAAATGGTTACTTTACACTCTCTAGCCTTCAGTTACCTTCACATAGCTAAAAAAAAAAGGACTACAAGACTGTTAGTAGCACCCAGAAGCCACAGTTATATACTAATTGTAAATGCAAAGGTGTTTTAGTCATTTAACAAGTTTTTCTCATTGATGCAACTCATTTATCTAAATTAATTCTGCTAACATCATGATTTGTTTGCAGTGTACTTGAGGACTTATGATGATATGAACCAGAAATACAAACAATATTATCTAGATCATCTGTAAATAATGTTGACATTTTGTCAATGCATAAAGGATTACTAGAGTGGAGAAACAAAACACAAAAATTAACACTGAAGTAAAAAAAAGACTAATAACCAGGTATAGTGGCCACTTTAATTTGGCTGTTTGTATACCAAATAAATTTGCTAAGACCAAAAATACTACAGCATAACTAACTTATTCATGTGCAGACTTAGAAGCAGACTCTTATTACAGACAACAGACAGAACTTAGCATTAGCACAGAGTCTTTTTGAGATGTTTAGTGATGCATCAATAATCTCAGATTCCATGAGGATAGACAGCAGTTATAGGTAATATGCACAGGAGCCCTTCAAACAGCTTGGTGAATGGAAAAGCATTAGGCAAGAACTAATAGGAACAGGTGCCCTTGAGAGTTTTCAAATAAATATTTAAAAAACAAAACCAGATTTTCAGGAGGAGTTCATGGCAACTCCTAGATCCACTATTTATAGCTAATCATCAGTTCACCTGACTCGTTCCTTCAGTTTGCTGACATAAACCTTGTGTGTTTTAGTCTGTTAGCACTCAATCAGGAATACAGGAGCATCTAATACTCTTCGGCCACTGGTGGCGCTGATGCTAGCAGAACATGTCCATAAACTTGGCACTCTATCCAGGACAACCCCACTTAGATTGCTCTGTCAATACTGTGCACTTTACTGCCAATCAGTCAAGTCAAAACATCAATGGAATAAATCATGCTGAATTTTGCCATGAGCCATTCATCATACTGAATGCATAACTAAGCAGACTCAGTTATATAATACTATATACAAGGGGGTCCAAATGTTGGAGATCACATTAAAAACAAAGAAGCATTCAGCATTTCAAGGTCAAATTTAATCAACCACTATCAACCACAAACATTCTAATCAAAATATCCAAATCAGTTTTTCACCAGGTTAACCCTTTGTACAAAAAGTCAGGGGCCAGTTGCATAAACTTAGCCACCATGCTAAAAATAAGACCAATCTACCTTTTCATAACTGAATTAAAAAAGTTATGACCAGTCTTGAAGAAAAACAATTAGATGACTAACTTTTTAAGTCTAAACAGTTTATGCAACCGGCCCCTAATTCCCTTTCTTCCATTGGAATATTAACATATCAAGATGGACAACATGGATCACTAAGTGTTGAAGTTCATGTCAGCTCTGCTGTCACTGAAACAAAAGATGAACTAACCAAAAAAGTCATTTTGACATTCATGTTCGTTCTTGAATGTACTTAAAAATCATTAAGCCAATAATACACCTAGTCAGGAAGACATTCATATTAAATAATGCAAATTGCAAACTAATGCATTTTCACTTGTGGTCTGAGACTTTTGATCCATATAAACCATACATTATAATACAGAGAGGCTTTTATCTCTACAAGGCTTTTATCAGCTTTCCAATAGTGCTTTAATAAATGCAAGTGTAACCATAAAAAGGACATTTAAATGGATTTAACGCTGCCCTTTGTCCAGTTAATATACGGTTTCACAATCTGTATCACAAATTATTCACATGTTGTTTCTGTTAAACCATTAATATTAACACCTTTTTTTGTGGTGAATAGAATCATGGAAAGAAACAGTGCAACATCTAGCCGTTCAGTATTAAGTCATTATTAATAAAGATTCAGAAGGACTCAAAGTCTACACCATCCCCCACAGAACCTAATCTCAGATAGTAATAAATCCAATGATTGAGATTCCCCCAAGTTGCTATCATTAAAAACAAACCAACAACCCAACAAAGAGTCTCCACTCTTATGCTCAAAGCAAGTTGAACTGTTTAAATAGAATTTTTACTCCGTAAACAGAAATTTAAGTAGGCCTCAACTCTAAAAAGTAAAAACTGTGTTAAAGCTTAAGTGTGTCATTTCTATTATCATCACTAAATGGAAGGTCAAAAATAACTGTTTTCTAACAAGTTTTCGCCTCAAATTTACACCATTGGTTGAGCTGTAGATTTTCAAGATACTCAAACAAGTGTTTGAAGCACCATCACAGAGCTCTCACTTTTCAGATAAATAAACCTACATATGGCTTACTTACAGTTGTCTCTGCATATTAAAAAGTAATAGGAGAAACCATTTTAATGTATTACAGAAATAAATTACAAGCTTCAGCTTTAAACAATGGGAAAGCAGGCAATGCCAAGGTGTAGGTAAGAAAAACGTCCCATTAGAAGTTAGAAAATAAAATTTTGTTAAATATCAAAGAAAATAGCTGTAATAGCTGCAGATTCAGTAATTTAAAAAAGCCTGTTCTAGAAAAAAATAAAATAAAATGTGGTAAATCAAGGGTGAGGTCTATGTAAAGCATGCTCAAGCTTGTTGGTCAGTCTTTCTGAATTGAAATTACACACGTACTACCAAAAATCAGAAGAGCTATGCATGATACAAAACGTATAACAAACGATCTGTGCATACAGTCTAAAAACAACTGAATAAATTAGAACACTATATGAAAAAATCCAAATAATAGTTTAAAAAAAAATTTTTTTTTTTTTTTTTAAAGATTACTTAGAAGGATATAGAATGTTTATTTTTGGACCCATTGATAATGGCCAGGGGGGAAAAAATGGTAGGACTCGAAAGTGAAGGGATAAAAAGGATGATAATGAAAAGAAGATTTACATGCTGAAGAATACATACCCTGTTTGGCTACAATCTCGATAGGGCAGGACAGAAAAAACACTATAGAAGGATCTTCTGCCACTGAGAAGGACTATCCTATAAAGACAAAATGATACATAAACTAATTGAAGTGAACTCTGTCAATATAGAGGTCAGGACCACAGGCAAAGATGAAGGGATACACAGTAAATAACTGATATGAAATAGTATGTCATAAATTATGTAGGAATGTATCTGGGAATATGCAACAAAGATCAGAAGAAAACAAAAAGAAAGGCAAATTGCTTATAAAAAACAATCTTTGAAGTAAATTAAAACCTGATTGAGACCACTGAGAACTGAACATGTTTACAAACAAACAAAGGATTGTTTACAAAGGATATTCTGCCAAGGCTTTTCAAGTTCTTATATTTCCTTTAGAAGTTCATCAACTGCTAATAACTGATCTAAAGCACAAAATAAAAAATATGTTGGATCAAAGTACAGCCAGAAAAAAAAAGCTCTCTGACACATCAAACACTGCAGTTAACTTTACAAAATAAAAATTAGTGACTTCATTGGAAGGCTGCAAATCTGTTTATTTTATGGATTTTCTCAAAAGCCCAAAGGAAAAAGTAAGCTGGTCACCTCCTCTTGTTTTCCAACACACCAATTCAAAATCCCATTCAGATAAAAGAGAGCATCTGGCTAACACTCTATAATCAATTATAAAAAAACAAACAAACAAAAAAACACTAATAACATGCCCCAAATGTTTGGGTTTTAGAGAGTGTCTGCTTCAACTATCAATTTAAAATACCAGAGGGTCAGTTAGAGATAAAAATACCACAAACACAAACACACACACACACATTGATGAACATCTACATAAGAGTAACGACAAACATAATTTCCTTTTCCAGGATCTACAACTTCAAGTGGTCTTGTTTTTTTAATGTATTATATACAAATGGCATGACCTTATAAAATTGGAAGAAATTTGATGGTTGCAATCAATGTGCATGATTATCCAGGGAAAATTTCATCAAAAAGGGAAAATTTTTTGCAAATTTCAAAATTAATTTCAAAAGTAAAAAAAAACAAAAACTGAGAACCAGGAAAAATCTTTTAATAAATTCAGGGGGAGTCTTTTGCTGAAACACTTGATGTGTGGGTGCTGTTCTCTGTGAGATGTCTGTGTGTGGGCTGTTGGGTAGCTGTGAGCATACCTTCCATTGCGCATATCATGTTGTCTTATGTTTTTGATGAAATGGACCTTCTTGAAACTCTTTGGTCGGGGTGAACCAGATAAAGTTCGGCATCTAGAAACAAAGCAGCATCAACACTGTTCATTAGAGAAATAAATACAACACTGTTCATTAGAGAAATAAATACTGATTTTCTTATGGATATATATATATATATATATATATATATATACACACACACACTATAGTGCAAATCTCATCTAATATGCTAAATATAAGACTGCACTGAGATACTATTCTTAACATTAAGATTTTCTGTAAAGCTGCTCTGAAACAATGTGTATTGTGAAAAGTGCTATATAAATCAGTTTTTTACTTGACTTCTGACTTTATGTGTTTTTCTTACACTTACTGCTATTGTTTTTTTACTCTTAATTTATTTATTTACAAGCTTTATCCTAGTGTAACTAACTTCAAGCACTGTTAGTAAATCAGAATACGTCTGAAGAGACCAGTCTTGTTAAAAGAGTAAATAAAACAATTGTGTTAAACATAAACTATGCGCAAAATCATTCTGAACAGCACTAAAATTACTTTTAATGTATCACTTTTAAAGTAAAAAGGTTTACATAATGTTAACTGAAAGAACAATCAGATGGGTTACCCAAGCAATAATTGATTTATCACAATCTGTCAGAATCACACATGTACCAAGTACATGGCCGTTGAAAAGTTTCAGCACAAAACAATTATGGTCCTGCTGGTAATACCTGCGTAGAGGCGCGTTCTCCTCAATATCCTCCAGAGTCTCCAGTGAGGAACGCTGGGATATTAGTCTCCGCCTGCAAATTAACAACAATAGGGTAAGATTTTGTAGTGCTCCATTTAATAAAATCACAGTCATAAACTTCTAGTAGTAAGTTCAAATTTTCATATATTCCTTAAACAAAATAAAGGTATGTAAATTTAGCTTATTTTATTGGAATGGTAAAAGGGAATGTTGCAAGCAAGACTCGAACCTGAATGTCAGTCTGAATGTCAATCTTACATGTGCCATGACCAACAAACTTACTCAACAATTAATCATTTCACTAGAGTTTTTACCACACAATAGGCTTCTGCACAAAAATAGCAACTGCAGAATTTCGCACACCACCTAAGTCAAACATATAACCAACTTATTATGATTTAGCACATTGCCAAACAAAGCTTGAATGAGCGCACAGCACTGTGGGCTTTAGAACATTACTTCAAATTCAGGTTAAAGTTTCCCATCAATACCAAACCTGTTGCAGCACAAGTGTTCGACTTTGTTATTTTCTTGATGTAATATGAGATCACACACAAGAATGTTCCAGAAACCAGCCCCTGTAAGAGGATAAGTCATGGCTCCAGCAGAGATTTCAGTTACACTTTCATATAACACATTCCTTCTCACAAGGTAATAACGAACATCTATTAGTCTGCTGATAAGGTACAACACACCAGGGAGATTGAGAAAATGCCTTATAAGCAACACTTGTTTCTATTTCAAGACATTATCATAAGCAGTTTTTCCTCAAAGCTCACACACTCTGAGCTCAAGTTCTTCATATTTGTTTTTCAAAAGCAGAGAGCAGCACTGAAAAGCAGGTCAAGCATGGCCTTGTTGCAAAGACCTGTATCTGTGGAAACGTGGGCTGAAGAATGCTTGTGTTCCTGCCAAATAAGCTCTGAAATCAGACCAATAACAGACACCTGATAAGAGTGTGACCACTGCAAAAGTACACTGTATGTAGTGTTCATTCAAGCTCATTCTTCTTTCCATTCAAGTCAAGTCACCTTTATTTATATAGCGCTTTCTACAATACAGATTCAAAGCAGTTTTACAGTGATTAAAAGTAAAATAATGATTCAGTGATGCAAACAGTATTCAATTCTGCTGTAAAGCAGCTCTGAAAAGACAACAGTAAACAGTCATTGTTCAGTTGAAATCAGTTCATTGTTGATTCAGTCTGGTTCAATAACTGTGTAAAGTTCCTCAATTATGGAATGAGTTTAATTCACCTTTAATCAGCCAAGTCATCATCCAGCTAAATTCAGTTTTAATCCAATAATGTCTGTGCAGTCAAGTTAATATTATTGCCAAATATTAAGTGTCCCCAACTAAGCAAGCCAAAAGGCGAAAGTGGCAAGGAACCCAAACTCCATCGGTAACAGAAACGGAGAAATAACCTTGGGAGAAACCAGGCTTTTTAATCAAAAATACAGTAAAACAGTAATATTGTGAAATATTTTTTACAATTTAAAATATCTGTTTTCTATTTGAATATGTATGTACATAAAATGTAATTTATTCCTGTGATAGCAACGTTGAATTTTCAGCAGCCACCATTACTCCTAGTGTCACATGATCCTTTAGAAATCATATATGCTTATTTGCAGCTCAAGAAACATTTCAATGTTGAAAACAGTTTTGCTGCTTATTTTTGTGGAAACAGTGATACATTTTTTAGGATTCTTTTATTCTTTAAATAGAATGTTAGAATGTTTTAAAAAAAAACAATTATAACACACTCGCAGGACATGAATTTTGAGAATATAGAAAGGTGTTCATGCAAAAATGCAATGCTATAGCAATCAGTGTGCCGAGAGCATACACAGTTTGTTTATGCATCAATAATAATGGACTCAAGTGCATTTAAAGACCACTGTTGTATGTCATTGTAACTGTCTTTACCTTGATTACGATCGTCATCCATCAAAACTACTACTACTATTAGCGTGACACTGGTTTTCTTTATCCAACCAAGAGATGTAGTTTGCATATCATATGCTCATGCAGTGGCTCGGTGATTTAGAAAAATACAGCTTGGACTGCTCCGAAACAATCTCAGAATACGAGAGAGGATGTGCTTTGAGGCCAAATTCACACTGAAATGAATAATTTACTGAAATCTGGACGTGAGTGCATTCGCTTACTGGATCCTTGGACTGAAAACTTTCTAGGAGTTTATAGCTTTCAATTGATCTGATCGCAAACAGATTAGTAGAAACATAATGTCTCCTGACTGAAACATGACAAAATCAAATGTCTCAAAATGACATTAAATTACAATTCGGCTTTAAAATGGCATATAGTTTATGTAGATAAATTGAATAAGTGGCACGAAAAAAGAAATTGCTCTAACAGTGTGGGTAAAGGGGCAGCCTTAATTAATTAATTAATTAACTAACTAACTAACTGATGCTGGGTACACACTAAAAGATTTTTAAAATCTTATAAAATCTTCAAAATGTGAGAGACCACAAACATGAGGAAACAAAATCCTAGATTTAACCGTTTTGCTCCTATGTGGTGTTTTCGGGGTTCATGTTGAATATTTACGATTCGCGATCGGGGCGCCTCCGACGTTCTTCCGAGCAGATTCAGTCACTCTTAACACACCTCACACCACAGGAAAATCTGATAAGATAATCTTTAGAACCACCAAGATAATCGGGACATTACCTAGGATTGTCGGAAGGGGAGAAATCGGCCCGATTATCTTGTGGTGTGTACCCAGCATAACCAACCACTCTGTGGGCCTCCCCTGACATGCTCTGGCACCCCACCTGATTAATCAGCAAAACCGATGAATCGGTCGACCTCTAATCAATATGTCTGTAAAGTGAGCTTCAACTCCCACAGGACGTTTGTCTTTCATGGACTATCCCAGGAAACAACTAAACAAGGCCACTTCATAAGCCCAAGCCCCCACACTTGCCTTATAAAATAACACCAGAGAGCACCAAATCCAGCACAGGCTGCCTACAACAACACCCTAAATTTATTCTACATGACGATCTAAAATAAACTTCCCTTCAGTGTAATTGAACCACTGTTGGTTTTGTGTCATTCTTCACAAACAACTTGGCCCAAAGCATACTCGATGGTAATACTAGAATGCAATGCTTCAAGCTATAAAAGCTTGATTTCATGTGCTGTTGTGTTTCAAAAAGTGTCAGAGCCAAATTCTAAACAAAACGGAACTACACGGTGCTTTCTCGGATTGCTGAAAGAGGGTGCTGTATTAGTGTCTACAGTAGGTGCATCCCGATCCGATTCATACACTTATGAACTATTCAACACCATTTTGTAGTAGTGCAAATAGTGTTCACACACTAAAATTTTTTTAATGAGGCATGGTGCACTACAGGTGCAAAAAAAAGAATATCATATACTTTATACATTCAAGTCGCAGCTTCCCTGAAGAAATGACAGATAAATGTATTAAAGATAGCGGCAGCACATCAGGTGCATTTTAATTGTAATTTTCTTCAAATGGAAAACTAGTAAAATACTAGTAAAATTTATATACTCCACAACAGCACTCTTGTGGTATAGGGTTATTGTGCACAGTACATCATTTGATCATGGAACTAGTTTTCCTTTTCAGTTCAACTACTATCAAGTTAGTAAAATATCAACAAGTTAAGCTACTTACCTAAGTACTTGCATACTTATGTGTTTCTGGCCTTAGTGTGTTCTTTCATTAAAAACACCACAAAACTACTATGTTGAATTTTGCTTTTACAGAAAGGAATCAAAACATCAAAAGCTCATCTCAATTTCAAAAGTTGTCTGAATCTTTGATCTTGGAGGATTGAATGAAAAACAGAGCTGTGTGTTCTGGGTGATTATGCTTTACACCATTGGAATGGTCAGAAAACAATGGTCATGACCAGACCAAACTAAATTACCTCAGTCAATTCACAACATGTCTAATGTTTATGAAAGGCTTTTCAATCTACAAGGCTATAGCAAAGACTTATTCTCACAGTTTATCTATAGCAGGAATTACAAGTGTCATCCACTGATAGTCAAAGCACAGAAGTTATTGTATTGGGCCTTTACCATGCAAAGAGTAGCTTTCTAAACATGAGGTTACTCGTTTGTGAACTTGACTCGTAACAGCAGTAAAATCTCACTTTATGCCATTTTTCACCATACTGATGAATCCACATATGCCATCCTTTATTCCTGCCACATCTGCTTGCCATTACACAACAGCATTCCCTTTACCTCAATCCTTAAAATACCACCGCTCATTGTTTTAAGTAACCGGTGGGATATAATCCTGTAAAAGTCCTGTGTTCCTGAAAACTCTCAGGTTAAAAACAGAGCAACAAGCCACAGCAGCCCATGTTTTTTTTTTTTAAATCATGTCTTGGCCTGAATTTGCCTGGTTGCAATTCCTACCACATCCGATACTGGTTTTAAGTTCTGGTTTAAATCCTTTTCCTGACTTCATTTATTTCACTGGAAAAAAATGCCAGCATAATCTCTCAGCAATGCCAGCTAACCGCATAACACAAAAGAAAAGGACATGGTCCATCCAAAACATGACTCGTTTTAATGGTTATGGAACATATCCAATAATGAGTCTGGAGGAAATGTCAATGTATTGTTACGAATACATTAGGTGCAAAGCTTAAAATATACACTCTAAAAAATGCTGGGTTAAATACAACCCAGTGCTGGGTAAAATAGGGACAAACCCAGCAATTGGGTTGCATTTAACCCAGCATTTTTTAGAGTGTACCAAAATATTTGGAAAAAGAAAAACGATGATATTTAGGACAAAGTACATCATATAAATAATGTTCACGTTTTTATTTTTTCTCTCTTTCTCGTTCATGTACTCTAAAATGAATTTACAGTGTATTCTGGGCTATTAGTTGCTGTATTTTAACAGTAACTTTTATAGTAGTAGTTCTACAATTTACTTCATAATGGAAAGGAGCAGGAAATGATGTGAACACAGTGATTAGCTATGCCCTAGTTTAAAGTAATCTTTTAAATGGTTAAATAATTGTGCCG